CATCCCTCGGTGAATAAATTTCGTCGAGCTTTCTTGCCTCGGTGGATGGCATTTTACCGCTCTCCTCATGATCGCATCACTGCGAGAAATACTTTTGATATAGTTGAATTTTTCTATATCAATGAAGCTGTCTGATTTTTGGTCAGCGATCGAAGCCATTCGAAAAATGATGCCCGTCGTCATTCGATAGCACAATTTCGTGCCGTGCGTTTATATCCGACTCCATGGGGTAATATTGCAACAACACACGGAGCGAGGCAATACGCGGAGACAGCCAGGCATATTTTCACCCTAAAGATGCGAGTCGAGGGAGCAAAGGACATTTACACGCATCTTCCGTGCCTCGCGCTCCTTTCGCCTCCTCTCCGACTTACCGATATACGTATCGTGTGCCTTTTTCCATCCCCTATTTCATCCAACCCTGACGACACTGTCGCGTGGACGAGAGGAAAATGGATCCATTATACGGATGATACGGTTTCCTCGTGTTTTATTTTTCGTAATTGACACACATACGGTCTGAATCGACGGAAACGTGAAAGAAAAATCGTTTAGAAAAGAAGAAAATACATACTTTCCCATCTTTCCTCCGATTTTTCCTCTCCCCTGTAACCATGTGATGGAGAAACAGCGTCGCGAGGTGAAACGCGGTCACGCGATCCCACGATCCTGGCTAATGATTTTTATTTATTTATCTTCCGTCTGGTGGAAAATACACGTGGCCATCACGACCACCGAGGAAGCTGTGTTTCAATGTTATAGCTGCGTGAATTACGGTCACGAAGGTAAGTGAAAATTCTGTATTAATTTAATCGAAATAATCGAATGGAGTAAAACACAATAAAAGTTTCGAACGCGCGAAGCTATACCCAACAACCGATTTATTCGTATCAAGACAATTTAAACAGTATCGGTCGATCGTTATTGGTATTTTTACCCGGGTGTATTGGTGCCTACTTTAGCTAGGCATAAAAATGCATCGCTTAAACGGATCGATGGCCGTAAGTAGCCTCGGTTTACGGAACGGTATTAGCTTAAGGAGCAAGTGGAGCAATTCATAAAAGTGGTGGTTACCCACCAGATCTCTAACATCCGTCACAGATTCAGTGTCTTTTCATGGGAACATGGAAAAACGCCCATCTAGTATTCGATGAACGTCGACCTAGGCCGGATTTATTTATCACTTGGCCGCCGCCGAAGAATTCAATATAAATCTGCTGCGTTATATAACTAGCGAGAAACAAATTTCACGGGGGGGAAAAAAGGAATAGAGTTGAACGAATAAAGTATACCGGAAGCTTGTCTCGCATTATAACTAACGAATCCACCAGCCAAACTACGAAGTAATAAAGCATGTGCGAACGATAAAATCGTGGCTTGATGACTAATATTTGAATTTGACAGAAAATAGAAAATTATTTTCTTTATCGATAGTTTGAAACTTGTTCCTGTGAGGAGCAGGCTAGTTTGCTTGGTATTTTTCAAACATTTATGGGGAAACGGCCGGACGTGGAGGGGGCTTCTACTCCACCGAAATGCACATTCGCAGTAACTTGTTTCAGACTGCTGATAAATAGTTGACCCGTTCGGTGGAGCCGAGACAAGGGTGGGGAAAAAGGAGGATAGGCAAGAGGCACTCTACTCGTGCGAGCACGAGAGCAAAGGGCGAATGACGGGGTAAAGAGATATGGAGCTTAAATCTTTGATGCCCACAGGTCGACTGTTCTGTTCTTTCTCGGATATTTTCCCTCTGTCTTTACGCGGAAAATTACGCGGAATCACATGCTACGAAATGTCTTGAATGACGCAAAATTTTCCAGCTCTTTAGTCTATTACCAGAAAAAATGGATGAAAAAAAGAAAGAGCGTACGACATTGCGCCTACGTGTCGGCTATCTCCGAGATACATGCGACATTTGATCCTGCAGCAGGCGAAGAAGGGGCAGCGAAATTACTCGTATCTTCGGCTTAGGGCCGCCAGCGCCGTTTCTTTTGAGTGTATCTTGCATTTCAAATTGCGCTTTTACCTCGATTAACTTTTGCATTCGTTTAATTAAAGATCAAAGCTCGTAGTCATTGAAGATTCGAGCTTTTTAGGGGAAAGCTTCCAGTCCCTTTCTCACATGTTTCTAAGATGTTGTAAATTGGTGCCGTACGTTAGGGAAACGTTAAGATCGTGAACGGAGGCGTATCAAAGTTTGACTCTCTTTTCGCCTTTCACCCAATGGCCTTATGCTTACGATATCGATAACATGGATACGTAATTGATTCTATACTGTTCTGCACTGACTCGGTTTGATTCTCCAGCAGCTTTTGTAACGGGGGTGTCCCTGGCCAGGTTATCAACCTGACAAAACTCGAATGCATCCCTTCGTTGCCTACTTTCCTTTTGCAAAATAAACGCAAAATCAATGCCGCGGTATTTAAACATTCGATACACCTCCAAATGGAGAGGAGATTTTAATCAAAGTATAATAGTAGTTATGCAGTAGTTACGTGGCGTAACTAGTCAGCCAGCCTCTCCATCTTACGGGCCTATGTTTACATGTACATCGATGCATTCTATATTTATGCGAACTTTTATCGCGTTCCGCGCCAAACGGGAAAGTTTGCGTTCTCTACGTATGCACGAAAAGGAAGAAATGCTGCTCCGACTAAACGAATCGAACATTAAGGATGTGTACTGTGCAGAGCTGGTAAGTTGACAGACGGAAGGAATGCGGGTCTCATCGGTGTAGCGGACACACTCACACAGTCGGTTCACACGCATTTTTATTATTGGTCGAATCGGTCATATTTATTAATCCGTCACGTGACCTTGAGCATCAAACGTAGAGCGAACGTCTTACTCTCCTTGTCCCTCTGCCGTCCCGACTGCCAACTTACCAGCTTTGCACAGTGCATATATACGTGTACATGTAGGTAAAGAGAAACCTTTTCGGAAATCGAACCGAATAAAAACCCTCTTTATCATTTTCCAACGCTATAAGTCTCTCGACGAATGTATGAAACTATTTTTGGAAATGCCGGTTACACACACGTGTACTGTTCAAATAAATGTAGCGTGTTGCAAATACGATAAAACCTCGACTTTATATTCTCTCCTTTTCTTTTTCTTTCTTTTGCGGTTACGAGGAATTATCTTATTTTAATGCCGCTTAAAGAACGTTCTCTCTAAAAGAAAAAGAGAACTAGAAAGCGATTACGAGATGTGGAAGTATTCACTATGCATTAACAGTCGCCCGTTGTAAATAGTTACAATTACAAATTGACGGATATGAAATTTTCACTACGCTTGTAATGAAAGTAGTAATTATCATACTAATTTCAGGATATTTCATAGAAACTTGTTCCTCTCTCTCTGCCATAAAATTGCAATCACAATAATTAATGCACTTACCGACCAATTCTTCTTAATTTTTTCCATTGAAAGTAAATCAAACTTCGGGGAACCCTTTAGAAATTGTTCACGCGCTAAGAAACATACCGGAACTCTTAAATATCCAAACATATTTTCGTTTCTGCAAGCAAAATTAAACGTGCAATTACTTTCTATACTATCTTGAAACTTTTGATTTAAGATAACACCAAAGGATTCATTAAGAAATAAGATAAAACATTGTGTATAGGTTTGTTAAGCGATTTATTATTTTGCGGAGTATGGTTAAAAAATTTTCGACTTCGAACACTAGATACAACGGCTGGATGTAAAAAAAAAATATTCAGGACGGTGTAAGAAGTAAAAGGGGGGTCCTGAAGGAGTGAAATATTGAATATTTTAGCATCGATACGTACATGATCACCAGAACCGTAAGTTAAGTCTCGGGAAAATTCAAGGCAAACTATTTCCTGATAATTAGCTCTCGTATGTTCTGAAAATGTCGTTTACATTAGAATTGTCGTTGTTTTCTAGTAGAAAATCGCAGATCGAGATTGTAGTCTTGTGTATATATTGTATACGTTAAAATTCCCTTTAATTTAAGGAAAATGAAAGCTCACAAAAACAATAACATACACTTCTTTGCGATACCATGAAACTGTTAAATGACCAGCTGCATATTCATGTGAGAAAAATCCATGGAAAATGCGCAAACAGGAAGTACATACGTTGTGTCATTGATACAATGAGACTAGTTAACGAAGAGATATTTATCGAACGGCAAATGATTATTCCCATTGAAAGGAACTTCACCGACAACTACTATTATTGAGAACCGCTGGCATTAGGGAATCCGCGCGTTGTACGCCTCGCGCGAATAAGAGCGAAGGAAAAGAAACGGTTTTCAATCTACGAGGGAGAAGATTAACTAGAATAGGAAACTCCAAGAAAATCGAGACTTCTTTGCTTAGTTATTTTTACAATTACTTTCTGTCAAGGTAAGAGGAGCCATACAGGCTTGTCGGAGAAAAGGTGATAAAAAGAGAAGATCTCGTTATCTCCCCCGCTCTCATGACATACATATAGCGTATGTACGTATCTGGCCTCACGTGTACCTCCCCGTGACAATGGGTGTCGACTTCTGACTACTAACAACGAAGACAAAGTTGTCACACTGGCCAATTGCAACCTGCTCGTTGAGAATTTTTATCAGCGGTTTCTCGTCCACGAAAACGGATCGAGGCGTTTGCGGTCACAATATCGCGACATTAATGTCGCGGCTTGACAAGAGAAGGGAGAGGCCGAGTTTGGGGAGAAGGTGAAAGTGAGAACCGTCCACGGACATAACCTAAGAATAAACTGTATGCACAGCTATCGCAGATTTCGTGGAATTCACAGCGGCACGATACTGCTTTTAGCAAATTCATTGACATGATCGTTCCAAAGTGTTGCCCTTTCGATAAATGACTTATGAGAAACGGAGGTAAGGACGGAAAAACATGGAGATTTGCAACGAAGTGGGCGACCGGACCTTGTCTGACACCACGGTCACCACCACGCGAAGAAGTTGGTCCGATTTGAGAGGTGTTGTCAGTGATCTACGGAGAAAATTATCCGGAGTATCGGTTGGATCTGTTCCTGGATCTATCACGTTTCGATCTCTACCAGATGGACGGTAAGAAACGTTCCTGAAACAACGTAACCTCTTTTCGCTCCAGAATATTATTAGTTTTTATCAAATATCCTAATTAAACCATGCATATTTCCCTTTCCCCCAGGACCAGAATATATTTTCTTAGTAGCCCTAGCAATGGATGGGAAACTACATTACTCTATGTGGACATTGCACATTCGGATCATGCTAATGGCTACCGTCTACACTGGCAACCTGTTATAGAAGCCAATTTTCAAACGTAACATAATACTTCACTGAAACAGACCAAGCCATTTTTTCTAATTTAACAATATAACAATGGCAATGTTTCTTCCCAGAGTATCCAGTACCAAACGATTATCCAGAGAAGAACAGCTGCTATGGGAAAGAAAAAGACTAGCTACGTGGGGTATCACTAGCTATGAGATTCATTTGGACAGTGGGAAATTAGTTTTTCCAGCTGCAAGCAGCCTTTATCAATGTATAGACACAGGGTTTATGGTACATTTTCAAACATTCCTATTATCTTTGTGTAATTAAGATGATGGAACAATAGAAACATTTATGTATAAAAATACATATGTATTACAGGCTGGACCTCTTTTTCCATCTGAAATTCGGACATCGACATCAGGCGCGAAATTATGTCCGCAAATTTGTCCATGGAATAATGCGTTAATTGCTCATACATGCTCGGGCGATTTGTATCTGTCTCATAGTATAACAGGTTCTTCCGTAAGATTAACACACGCGAGAAATGGCGGCAGAAGTTTAGCAGACGATCCTCTCACTGCTGGCACTCCTTCTTATGTGATGCAAGAAGAGTTTACTAGGTTTATAGTATTATAAAGATGATAATGATGATGTATAAACATATGTATTCATTTTTTCTAATCCAACTATTTTATTTAGGTATAGTGGCTATTGGTGGCAGCCAAAATCCAGCGACGGTATTTATAGAATAGTGTACGAAGAAGTCGATGAGAGTGATGTAAATATATTTTGTTTTCCGTCAACATCAAATTTTGAAGAAATAGATGAATTCAGGTTTCCTAGAGCTGGTACTCCCAACGCTAAGAGTAATCTTAAGATGGTACAATTTCGATTAACAGAAACGTTAGAAATTGTTGACATTGAAATATTAGAACTTCAATATCCATTGCATATTATGTTCCCATGGATGGAATATATGGTAAGAGCAGGATGGACTCCCGATGCGCAATAGTAAGTGAGAAATGTTTCGCATTTGTCATGTGTATTTCCAATGTTCACTTCTATAATACAGTCTTATACAAATTTAGCGTTTGGGTCCAGTTGTTGGACAGAAAGCAGCAAAAGCTCGAGTTAGGTTTATTATCGATAGATAATTTTTCCGAACCACCGTCGAACGTTTACAATTCGGAAAATCATTTTACTCCCTCCTCGGCGAGTGTTCAAGTGATATATTCCGAACAGAGTTCAATTTGGATAAACGTAAATGATCTCCTCTATTTTTTGCCATCCGATGACCCAACAGAAGTTAAATTTCTATGGGGTAGCGAAGAATCGAATTATAGACATCTGTATCTGATTACATCTAGTATAGCTGGTAAAAGTAGCAAATGATCTTCGTAGTAATTAATCGTATATAATTGAAATTCAGCGCCACGGTTTTTTCCCCATGTTTTTCTTGTAGGTTTAAATAACGAAGTGGAAGAGCCTTTGGATAAAATGGATAGTATTTTTTTGCAACCTCGAGTTACTTCTAAAGTTGCTTTGACCCAAGGAGATTGGGAAGTGTTGGGTAAAAGATTGTGGGTGGACGAGGTGAACTCCATTGTTTATTTCTGTGGTTTACGTGAGGGTCCATTGGAGCAGCATGTTTATGCTGTATCTCTTCGTCGGCCATTAGAAATAAGATTACTCACAAGACCGGGCTACAGTCACAATAGTATATATTTTAATAAGGAATGCACAATGCTAGTGACTGTTTATAGCTCCATCAAAACGTTACCTACTTGTCAAGTACGATTAATCCTCTTACGAAAAATGTAAGATTGAACAATTTTTCGTGATAGTTAATGTTTTTTAGGTATTTAAAATATCGCAATCAGATTGGACCGTAGAAAGTATATCTTTAACACCTGTGGGTTATTTGTTAGAACCATCCGCCCCTGAATCCGAATTATTTGCCCCGGAAATTTATACTCATAAAATATCATCTGGCGAAGCTGTTTACTCAATGATCTTTAAACCCCATAATTTTCACACCGGTGTCAAATATCCGACGATATTAAATGTGTACGGTGGTCCTGAAGTACAATTAGTATCGAACACGTTTAAAGTGAGCATTTCGAAAGTATAGTAGTAATACGAAGGAAATTTTGTTCGTTTAGCTGAATTCGCTAAATTTGCCATATATTTCAGGGAATGAGGCATTTAAGAATGCACATGTTGGCTGCTCAAGGATATTGTGTCATATTAATCGATTCTCGCGGTTCACATCACAGAGGCTTAACATTTGAAAGCTATTTGCAACATAGAATGGGAACTGTCGAGTTGAATGATCAAGTCGAAGTACTAAAGTGGTTAGCAGAAACTACCGGTTACATTGATTTAAATCGTGTAGCGATTCATGGATGGTCATACGGGGGGTATTTAAGTCTTATGGGCCTAATACAGTGCCCAGAAATATTTAAGGTAATTTTTCTCCTTCCATTTCATTCAATTTCATTCAATTCCATTCCATTCCATCAATATTCCATTTTTTCGTGTATATTCGATGAAATCTGCTATTCTCAGTTAGCGATCGCCGGTGCACCTGTTACTTCCTGGAATTTTTACGACACTGGATACACCGAACGATACATGGATTTGCCCCAAGATAATCCTCACGGATATATGGCTGGTTCAATTTTAACATACGTAGATAAGTTTCCCGATGAAGAGAACAGGCTATTGATCATTCATGGACTTATCGATGAAAATGTACACTTTTTCCATACCAGTCAATTGATCAATGCCCTCGTCAAATCTGGGAAACCATATCAACTACAAGTTTACCCTAATGAAAGACATAGTCTCAGAAGTCTGGATGCTAGTAAACATTACGAAACTACGCTGCTATCATTCTTACAAAATCATTTATAAGTTCATTACTATTATTATAGTATATACAGTTACAGCGAAAAAATGCTGGTTAAAATAAGATCTTAACAATTTCATTGACTGCCATTACGTTTTGTGTACATAGATTAAACGAATTAAAAATTGTTCTTCGTGTCCTTCATGTTCGGGATGGTGTTTGCCTAACGCGAATCTTATGTTTTCTATGGAAAGTCTGAAATCTTAAGCAGTATTATAATTTTACAACAAACAATTTACAATAAAACATCATTTCGAGATTCTCTGTATATTTATGGGGAATACTACTTTTTTCCGTTTATAAAAATATAAAGGGACTGTACGTGAGTAATATATTGGTAACACAATCGAGCACACATCTATCACGAAATATGTTATATTAAACACCACAGCAATTTACATCCCTTCAACGAGCTATTATAAAGCTTTACAACTGTAAGATTTATTGTTACTTTTGTAAGAAAATGGACAATACTCGCAATTTCTTTGTACATAGATATACATAAGGATCGTTAGATCTGTATTAATCTTTTTAGAATTTTCTTTCAATTGTACTTACACAAGATATATATATATTCATAGTCAAAAATGTATCTCATCTCGTGGCTATCCGAATTGTACGCTTGACTGTGTGTGTATATATAAGCAAGCAATCATTCACGTTTTTACAATAGGCACCGACAGTAAGTATTTAAGGTGAAAAAAGTATTTCCACTATATTCCACATTTGCAAATAAATCATATATTGGACAAACGATTATTCGTTAATAAATAAATTCGTTATTTTATATTTTGTTACAGTGTCTACTGTTATTACATACACACATATATCCAAGGACTTGAATATTATCAAAATAAAGATGGACTATATTCGCATTATTCTAATATATAATTATATTTTCTTACATAAATGTACATTATTGTTTGCTATTATAAGTTTTGGTTTTTCTGTTCAAGTATTTGTACAAATATTTGATCCTTTTCTTTAATTCTTTCCATTTAGTTGGTCTTGCTATTGGGAAAATACCATGCTGCAACATTTTATGTTTTCTCAGTAATACTTGATATTCATTACCACTTACACCTCTTAGCCAAGATGGTATATTGTATAAAATTCTAGTTGGGTGAAGATCCTCAGATCCTAAGATATCAATATAATCATTCTGACCAAACAATGCTCTCTTGGGAGACCAAGCATCGCGTGGTCTGTAAATTGGCATGGGTAACCTTTCATCACTATTACGAGGTAAAAGTCCTTTCATATCTATAGGATCTCTATAACCATAACGTCTTAGAAGTGGACCTTTCGCTATTTTGTCTGCATGATAGCGAAATCTTACAGATGTTACTTGTGGTATCCAAGGATTGACTGTTCTGCGTATAGTATTCATAAACCACGACATGCTAAAGATTTATAATTAATCTTGTTAGTGTATAATAATTGTCTGAATATTATCATTTTGTATATGTTGACAAAATATTTTCTTTTCTGGATAAAATCGGCTTCTCTAATTAATTCTACGCAATGTTTAATGGCTAACCTAACCTTATTTTCTATCAATTACATATAACTTGAAAAATTTACCTTTAATATGCTATACAAACGAGTAAATTTAATGTTGTTATACGAAATTTATCATTTAAAATTTCATTCAAATTGATACATGAAGTTGCAAATTATATTTTGTTATCTATAACCTCAAATAGACGTCACTGTAAATGAAAATGCAGTAGAGTTCGAAACGAAACTCGCCACACTAAGCGAGAAATGTACATATGCATATAACACGATCGCATGTGTCACTGATGTTTCAATTTAAAATTGACAACCAATCATATTTCCTTACGACCAAAATACATTATTATATTTCTTGAAGAATATAAAATTAATATTATTCCAAACTTTAACAATTTTGTGATGAAGTTAAAGAAAAAGAATAGGTTGATGAAATTAGTTAAAAAAAAATATATAATTCAAAAATAAGCATCAAGATAGTTCTATGTAATTAGAATCATACGATATTTCTCCTAAACCTGAAAAGTTTTATCGAAGTTGTAAAATATGAAGAATTCCTAGTCTATGTTGAAAAGTAAAGTTCAAGAGAATAACAATAGCCGCAGAAAAGCCTATAATACTGATGTCATTATGCACATAATGACATTAATTTAGTATGCGAGTCACCGATTATAGAACAATGACCATGTACTTGGTATCCACAGCTTAGAATTGTTAATGTTTCTTCGGTGCAAGTAATGTTAAATGTAGCAATCGAAAAGTAATAGGCGACAGCCAGTAAAACACTTGCATTTTCACTTTTACTCGCAACACCAGGCAACATTTATTCACATTGTTAAAACATACATCTGTTTTATGTCTTATATGACAAATCATGGGAATATTTAATCGATCGAATAATAATTACAATCAAATTAGATTTCACAATTGAACTTAAGCACGTATCGCGCGTTCCGTTTGAATTGGAACCGTTGAAAGAATATTCAATCGGTCATGTGCAGTACACTCGTTTTCGTTTGGCGCGAAATAGGAGAATGAACTATTTTTGCCTACCATTTAAAATATTTTAAAGTACGTAATATTCGCATGATCGAAAACCATTTTTAGTTATTTTCATGTAAAATTAAACAAGTTACAATTTTAGTATAATTTTCAAATTCAACGTACATAAATAATAGTATTTTATCCTCGATTGTATTGACAAGTAAAAAAGAATTTCTGAATTTTTCGTCATTATTCCGCGATTGTTTGCATTAATTAGAAAATTACCAAGATTTTACCAAAGAAATGAAATTTCTTTGTTCCTCTGATGAAAACAGGTGGTCAGTGTATAAAAAGTAAAAGTATGACGAGAATTCCAGCGGCCGCGAGAGTGGAACCTAAAAGAAAAAGAGAGGATCATCGTAAAGTTGACTTCACCGAATTAGATTGCGACGTACAATTAATTCTAATTAACCTTTGTTACAAGTCGCTTCTCCTTCCTTACAAACACATTCACCGTTCCTACATTCGAGGACATTTTCATTATTGAAGCCTCTACATTCGTAATCCATCAAGCACGTGTTGTACAAAACTGAAAATGTCGCCCAACAATTGTCCAAATTATCTCTAGGTACGATTCATTTACATCTAACGATAAGTTATTTAATAGAAACGAAGAATTGGATTGGTCATACGTCGTGTTTGAATGCATTTTGCCGTTTCATTGACAAAATGGTAAGATGAAATGCATTGACAACGGTTATTGATGCACATGGCACGACCAAGTGCGTCCTGACACTCGTCGGTCCTTTGGCAATGATCGCCCATCTTTGATGGCTCTAAAACACAAAGTATGCAAAATCAATACGTAAGTAGGTAGAAATTTCGTCATTGATCACATCTATTACTCACTACTGATACAATTCGAAGAATTATTTATGTCTAATATATAGGAATCCTTGCAGGCGCAGACACCTTGTCTACACTCTGCATTTGCCATTGTGCTGCATGCAAAATCGTCCGTGCAACTCAATCCAGCACCTATTATAATCATCAGTTCGACGAAGAAATATTTGGTAATTGATCGTCGATAGGCAGATAGATTTTGTAAAGGCATATACTCACTGGCGATGCACATCGACATGTCAAAAGTAGGGGAGTAATACTGATTACATAGACATGTCATTTGTACACGACAATATGCATGCTGAATGCAATTACGGTCTCTTTCGCATCTCTCGCCGATCTTTGCGCTCCCATATTCTATGTTCGAGAACAGGAGAATGAAAAAGAAAAAGAAAACGAATCGATTTTATCATGTTTTCAATCGAACGATTCTGGTCCGTGAGATGCACGACGCAGCAAAATTTTCCAATATTTTCTACTCACGTTCGAAGCACGAAAGGGATCCGAATGCAGCGAAGAACAGAAGAAACTTGAAAATTTGTTGGTTCATTTTGGTATCGATGGTAACGGAAAAATGGTGTACGTCTTGGTAAATGGTGTTCGATGGTAACGTCTTGCTAGGAAATAACGCAATACACGCCCGCCTGCGATAATCGCGTTATCTTTTTACTTATCTGTGATATATCCGAGAGTATGATTCAGGAGGCTTGTTCGTCGACAAGCGTGCTATCGGCCCGCTTTTTAAATGTTTCACCGCTTCCATAGTAAAACGAAGGAAAGACTTTGAAGTAATCAGATCTTTTAGAGAGTTAACAGCGATTCGAGCAGGGAAACTTGCGGACAGATGCGATCGAACGTTCATCGTTGGTGGTGTCCGGTCGCGGTGGCTGGGAAGAAAATCAGGATGGTGGGAGAATATGGTTAACTGCAGTTCGACACGGCTTCGCGTTCGCCAGTCGCGTTCTATCGATGCTCGATCGTGAACCGATACTTGGTATACTTTGTAACAGACACTGTGCACCATATTACCGTTGAAATACCGCAGATCGTTTTCCTTGGAAGCATGAAGAAACATTTGATTTTCTTGTTACTCCACATCGCGATATGTGATTGTATAGTTTCTGAGCAACCTGGTAAGCTTCGATTACTTTTTCTATATTTGGTTAAATGTCCGGTATCGAATGTTCAAAGTAACGAACATGTATTATGTTCTATCTTACCTTGTGATTTTCGAATTATTTAACATTTGAATCCGATACCTTGATAAATTATGATCATTAATTTTCAGTAGTAATGTCATTGTCAGCATTATTCCATATTATTAACGTTCACTTTTGCCGCGAATCAACCTGATATGTCAAGAATTTAATGAAACATACTCGTGAAATGCGTTGCTCTTGAAAGTATTATATATCTATCTATGTACATATAATTAAACGAATATGTATTTGAAGCTAAATGAAAGCTGGTAAATGTGATTCGTATAGACATGAGTGCGTTTAGGGTTTCATCGTCACGTTATATATATGTTCGCATTCGTATCGGTTGATTATTATTCCGGCAATACGATGCAATGGCGGGCAACTGAAAGCCGAAGTAACCAACGTACCGGTGTAACGTCATTGCTTCCAAACAAATACACGGATCTCTCCTTTCGTTGCTTGTGTTGAAACGTCGGCAAGTTTCATTTCAAAATAAAACCGACCTCTTCCTGGCATTGAAACAAATGTCGATGAAACTGTATAGGATATTCAGTCTAAACAGTCCTAATTACCATTTCTTAATTTTTAGAATTTCAATTTTAAGAAATAGCATATTTCGAGAGACGTTAAAAGTAAGAAAAATAGTTCAATTACAGGAAGCATAGGTAACAAGACGATCTATTGCTCCCCTGTTCAATTAGTGTAACGTTTTAAAAATCTACAAATACGACAATCGTAATTATACTCAGAAGAACACGACCCAGATTACAGCCTGTTTCTGCCTACTTTTCTATCTCACGTTTAAGAATCGTAAATATGATATCTGAAAGCATCTCTATGTGGCTCATGAGATTACGACTGAATAATAAGACTACCTCTCAGTTAGCTCGCGTAGCAGAGCGATTACGTATTCTTATTTAATTGCAATAATTCTAATTGAAGTGAAAAAAGAACGAGTGATTGTTAATACTTGTAAATCAAATTCTTGTGTTGCAGATCCACCGATTCCTTGTCACAAAATTGAAGACTGCGTTGTTTTCTCGCAAACGATAAAAGACGCGTCGTGTCAAGATGGATTTTGCGTGTGCAAAAGCGGTACGGAAACTAAGTACTGTTCCAGCGTAGGTATTGTGCATCATAGCAACAGAAGCACGGATAAAGGTATATTTCTTGATGCCGCACTGATTTACCTTTGATTTAATTTCCTTCTCTTTCTTTTCCTTTAGGAGGTTCAATTTACTCGAGTTGCAAGCACGATCAGGATTGCCAGCTGAACAATTCCTTTTGTAACACGACTATAAGTCAATGCGATTGCAAAAAAGATTACATTCTGTCTACGTCTAAGAAAGTATGCCTAAAAAGTAAGAAGAATATTATTACATTTGAATTTGCTTTTAATTCGTTCGACGTGGTCTGCTAATTTGTCCGATTTTATTTCGTATTTAGAGGCTGAAACACTGGACTTTCCGTGCGTAGAAGACAAGCAATGCTTTACATTCTTGTCAAACACGACGTGTCAGGATGGCCTATGTAGCTGCATGTTTGGACACCATTACGTGAAAAATGCTTGTTTCAAAACGATCGGTAAATCGAACAAGTACTGAAATCAATACAATCAGAACAACAAAGTAATGTAAAACTGTGCTTTTATTAAATAGATATGGGAAAATCGTGCAATCGATCCGAGGAATGCGCTCATGTGATCGGTGCAGTGTGCACTGATAGAGATGTTTGCAATTGCGCAGCGGGGACTGTGATTAACGAGGACAAGAAAAGATGTTTACCAGTCGCACGCGAAATCCTAGAAAATTGCACTGAAAACGTACAGTGTAACGAAACCTTTTCAAATTCGTTGTGCATCGAGCGATCGTGTCAGTGCCGTGATCAGTATCACTTCGAGCCAATAATGAACCGATGTTTCATGAACTACAGTACGTTCATATATACGTTCTTCCAATTTCCTTCCTTCCGTCGTTCTAAAATCGTGTTCACATCGATGATTCACAGGACTGGGTGAAAATTGCGGAAACACGTACGATTGTCATCAAATCGAAGACGGAAACGTGACACAGAAAGCATTGAGGTGCGCAGAAAACAAATGCATATGTGCTGAAAATCACGAGATAGAAAACGACAGATGCGTGATGAATGCAGGTAAGGGAGAGAAGACGTGCGAGAGAACACTTTTATTACTCGATTTTCTTAACACAATTATTTTTCAGGTTCTCGTTTCCTCGTATCCCTTTTTCCTACTTTCCTCACAGTCATCATCTACGTCGCATTCCTCAGTCAAAATTAAACTTCGACGCTTCTCTACATCTAGGAGATGCGGCCTGAAAAACGTTTATTACATAATTGAACGGCTCCTTGAAGACACGGCTAAAACGCAACGCGGGATTTAGCGCGGAAAACAGAAAAAAGCTAAAGAATAGCGCGTCGGCGTGTCGGGTGTCGTTGCGACTCTACAGTATTACACGTCGAGTGCAACGAGAGACAGACTACGCACCAGGTGCATCGAAGCGTTTAAACACTTCCTCCGGCATGCATGCAATTAACGCGCTCGGAGTGCGCTACTGCGACTCGTTTCTCGCAGCAGTCGTCTAATTTACAAAGCATTCGTGATGCCAAAGACACGGATACTTTTGCCAACCAGCAGAAACTATAATACATCTCCTTACCTCTTGCCATTTCGACGAATGTAGCTTGTTGCATCCAATGCGATTAGATTCGTCTAAATTTCACCTGTATGCGGGATGTAAGATGATCTACATTCGCGCCTAAAGTGCCAATACTTTGGAATCTTAGTTTAATATCTCGTAGGAGAGAAGAACAGTATTTTATTTTTTTTTTACACTAATGTATTCATATAGTATGAAGATAGTAGTAGTTAATACGTAAGGATTAAAAGTCTCAATTTTTATAAATCTACCGTCTACCCTCTCTAGGGAAACTGCGTTGCATTTTTTTTAGTTCCATGGCGTTCGTAGAATGTTCATACTTGCAATATTATTATTTACGTAAGAATATATTGTTTGTTCAAGTAACTACCATTGTTGTTACTATTTTTATTTTGAAATAAAGTAACTTCCTTAACCTACTTTACCTAAATCCAATATATTTCAATGAAAATCTCTTCATAATCTTATCTATTACTACGACCACCACCACTATCACTACTAATGCTACTACTACGTCTACGTTCAGTCAATAAACTCGTAAAATTTGTTCGAGGTAAGAAGAGTCCAATCGAAATACGCGCCATCGAACGTTCGAATCACCTAAGACATTCATGGCAATCACTACAGCCGGCGTTTTCGTCGTCACGTATTAATCACGGGTCTAAAATTTCCGGTGACATACGTTGTACGTAGTGCAGCGCGTTTTCAATGCCGACCGGGGACAATTAAGAGAACGAATGATTCGTTCGAACTTATCAACGTGTACCGATTAGATAAGGCCAACTGTCGAAAGTAGAAGCAATCTCTTCTATAGACTGGGAAAGACAACCTCGAGAGAATCGTGTTGGTGAATTTCGTGGCTGACGATTGAAAGAGCAGAAGAGGGAAGAAAGAAAGGAAGGAGGAACGTGCGAAAAAGCAGTGGCGAAGTCGTGGCGAAGGAGGAAGATGGCGGGCTTGTTGGGTCGTCTCCCGATGGGAGGTGTTACTCTGTCCATCGGCCTCTGCCTCGTGCTACGGAGTGCAGTCATCGTCGCGCACGGACAATACGAACATCTGCTCCGTAGACGTGAGTGTGAACCACGATTTACCTCGCTATCGTCAATGTCGGGAACCATTCTTTCTCTTTTATTCCGCGTTCGCTGAAATTCCTCGAGTTTCAATTTCAATTGCAATTTCAATTTCTATTTGAATTTAAGTTGAATCTGAATTGAAAGGTAACAATAATTACAAAAGTACACAACGAAAGTTTACAATACTACTTTTCTGCATTAATTCGCGTCATTCGAATAAGCGAAACGGGATGAAGATTTGTAGAAACTTTTCATTGATCCCTGCGACGAGGGATTTCAGGTATAGTTTAGTTCGATATACGAGGTAATTAATCGCGACTAATTAATTCGTCGCCGAAAACGAAGCTCGAAAAGCAAAAAATGTCTGCAACTCGATTTCGTGGAGGTTCGTTCGTTGATAAGATCATGAGAGTCCGGCGACCAGTGAATTTATAAGGATAGTTTCAAGTGGATTCGTTCCTTCATGACCGAGTGATCCTTTCTTCGCTTACGTGGGGAAACATGGGGAGGCCGGATCTACGCTGCTGGTTCTCACAGTTAAGCGAATGTCGGCTTGGAACCCGCGCATAATTAAAGAACAAGGGAGATTGTTCCCCACGAGCATCTGACATTTCGGTCTAGCGCTCTGTTCCCCGATCCGGATTGCAGCATACGTCTTAAACAAAGCCTGGTATTGCGTGAAGCCCATTATGAAATCACACGCGACGTACAAACAATACTGGCCACTTATTGTTAGTGCCACAGTGCTGCTGGGGACTTGTACGTACATATGTACATATCTCGGGCATACCGATTAATTCCACCGAAAACCTCTTGCCTTTCATCTTGCACGCTATAAACGCTCGTATCGTAGGGATTTTCATTTAAGGTATTACCTTTACGTTTGTTATTTAATTGTAAAATCATTCGATCAAACAATACCCTCGCGATTTACTTGAAACACAAATACTAGTGTGGCAATCAGCAAACCGGTGATGACAATAACACTGATTACGCAATCATTAAACGCGTGAATCAAAGGCGGAACTAAACGAGAAAATCATAGCCACGAATGATATAACTGGAATAAAGGTGAAACTCGTTTTTTCTCAAATTTCTGTTAAACGATACCGAACATCGCGAAAGAATTCAATCAGCGTTACGCTGATTTAGTTAACAGTTACTGCCGGCAGCTTAAATAGAAAATTGTTTTCGCAGCAGCGAAATTAACTGCATTCGTTAACCAAAGTTAATTCCGCGTGGAAATTATGCCGTTGATTGATTCAAAAAGCGACATTCATTGTTCTTTGGCAAATTGTGCTCGCTGATGCACGTGCATTTAAATCTCTGGCAAATGATTTGATCACGCTGCGCGACAACTAAGAAAACGAATTCGATAAAACACGTAACTGTGTTTTTGGTACGTGTGTATATATGTATACCATTTGGTTGCATAATAGGTCGAAACGATGGAGCTGTTAAACGGAGCACGCTAAACTTGCTGATCGGTCGGCAACCTTGGAGTTCAAGTCGTAATAACTGCTGTAGAAAACATTCGAGATCCGGCTGCGTCACTTCTCCTTCAGGAGCACCTAAATTCCATCTTTTAACTACTCCTAATTACACGCTATAGTGTTTAGAGATACAGAGCATTAGGAATCGCGAGAAAAAACTTGGCGTTCTCCTCGATTAAATCGTGCCGCGATAATACAATTGATCCACAGTTGAATCACCGATTTAGCTCGTATAATTGATGGATCTGATATAACGAGGTCGTAAATTAAAGCATTAAACGGCAATACCGATTGACGTAGCAGCACACCAGGGCCCTACACATCTTCTGCTTAGAATCTTTCGTTAAAGTTAAATGGCATTACACCTAAAAATCAGCTGTTAAGAATTTTTTAAACATACATATATTGCAATGGAAGAAGCAATTCCCAGTTGACATCGAATAACCTTGAACGAGGCTCGAATTCCTCATCTCCCTCAAACTGCTGTTTCGACGCTCGCATTTCGTGTGTATGCTTTGATGCCTGAACGATTTTATGACCTCGCTATATCGCTTCCACCGACTATACTTGTTGTCGACGACGCAACCAGTTATGTTACCACGGTGAAACACGCGGTGGATAAACGCACAATGACACACAGTGGTACTGTGACCAATTAAAAAGGGACTTGACCTCGCGTTAATTACCACTAATCGAGTTGAAAGCGCGATCGATATTATCCAGTCACGTTTAACCCAATTCTCGCGATCGATAAACCGCGCCACTCGGTTCCTACTAACAATGGCAACGGATCGTTTTCGCGTGTTGGCCCAAAGCCGCCGAGCTAGTAGTCGGTAAGAGATGGTCTTCTAATTCATTTAAGCAAAGCTGATCGAGCGCAAGAATCGTGAACAAAGGACTGACGACACCTGGGTGACGATCGATTAATCCTAGTTCAGTTGATAATCGCGTGAAGTGCGATTGTCGAATCCGACGTGATGCGCGCCAATAGAGCGTGGCTTCGTAGACGAGTTGCGTAACCTGAACAGTAAGAATTGACACACACAGAAGACCGTGTGGGAACGTGAAACACGGCACGGTCTGGCTGAACCACGACGTAAGATCGTTCTCGAGATCGTCGGGAATGAAGACCACCACTGGATACGAGCTGATGGAACGACATCAAGAGGAAGACGTCCTAACGGCGGTACGAGGATGACGCCGACCAGGACGGTGGTCAGGTTCTCGAGGTTACTCGTCCTCGTGCCTGTCACCGTCTGCGCAACCATTTCTTACCTCAACGAGCAGCAATCGCCGCCACTACCGCGATGCAGAGACCGAACACCGCCTCCTCGTATGTATACGCGACAGTAGTAGCATCGTCTCTGCTCTGTCAACGACTCTCGATCCACAGTCCACGGGGAATTTTAACGGGAACGAGGTTTCCTCTTAAAAAGAGGAACCTTCGAATTTGTGCGCAGAGTTAAACGGCTTTAGACTTAGACATGCAACATGCAATAACAAGATTCATCGTTTTGGTGTAATGACAAAGCGAAAAAAAATTGATTGTGATCGTAACATGATGTTTTTTAGAGACATTGGCAAAGTGCCGCTACGACGTCGATTGTATGCAGAATGCCTACTGTTGGAACCAGGAAGCCTGTCTGTGCAAAGACGATTACATCGTCTACAGAAATCGCACGCACGTGGAATGTCTGAAAGGTAAACTTTTTAAATACCTCGTGGATAGTGTGCCGCTGTGAATAGCGTTCGTTCGATTATCTAATTAGCTGGTTCAACGTTACCGCGTTCCCTCCACTGTTCTACCTCACGACACACCTTCGCAACGTCACGTTTCTTACGGCAAAAATGTTTCAACGGTAATCCTCTCTGTGCGTTCACTGAATTGAATAAAATTAGTCGGGGGGACAACTGGCGTGTGACGAGTACAGTTAATGTTGTGAAAGCGAAGAAATTGACACGTCGAGTGTACGTTCATTTTCGAACAGAAGCCGATCGTGTGGCGTCCAGGAGAAAAGTTCCGATTAATCGTAGTTCTTCTCCGCGACTTGAAATCGGTGTCGCCGACCTCGGAAACGTGATTCCACGAAGATCTTTCTTCGTCCCTTTCTCACGGCCTCTACGGTCTTCTGGAGCGTGTCGTTCATCGTGCTATAGTTGCCTCGACAAAAATCAACTATGTATTATATATTTTGAAATTCACGGAAATTCTACCTATATTTATTCACAGTGGCAAATACCATCGGGGACCCCTGCGAAGCGGACGTCCAGTGTCGCGTGACCTTCGCCCCTTATTCAGAGTGCCGGCAAAATATCTGCCAATGTACCGACAGCTCGCACTACGTGGAAGGAAGGTGTTACGAGTCCGTTGGTAAGTGTACCTTGCTTCCTGGCAAATGCTCGCGTTTCCTCTACTACATCCGGTGTTATAATTATTTCGCTGCGTTCGCAAGTCCTACCCATGTCTCGAGTAAAGTATACGCGCACCAGTGCAGTACAGATTTTCACCCATTGAATTTATCACTCTTCCTGATTTATCGTACGCCAGGTTTGGGGCTGCCTTGCCTAACGCACCGGAACTGCTACATCAGAGATAGCTACTGCGTGACGGGATTTTGTGCGTGTACCTTGAGGTATCATCCGAATCCTCGCAACGACGGTTGCATACCGAGCGCTGGTAAGCATCTCCATGATCGTTGTTCGAAACGTGCAACGTTCGATACTTGTACATAATTTGGAGAAGCAGAGAATTCGAAGTGATTCGTGTGGTTCGACAGAGTTGGGCGACAAGTGCTCGAACGATTACGAATGCGTTGTGGAGAATTCGAAATGCGTTGAGGTCTGCTCGTGCAAAGTGGATTACGTGCTGTCCAAGGATGGCAAGCGGTGTCTAAAAGCTGCCAATTCCGTCGGAGAACCGTGTCAAGAGGACTCCCAATGCCAGCTATTCCTGAAAGACACCATATGTGGATTTAATGGCAAGTGCAGCTGCGTCGAGAACTTTCATCAACGCGGCTCCGTGTGTTTCAGAGACACGAGTGAGTATCGATTTTATCGTTAGGCAATAGAAAGAAACGATATCTTGACGAATTTTTCAGTGTTGGGCGCTCGATGTGAGATCCACAGAGAGTGTAATACGTTGACCTATAGACATTCAAATATAACCGAGGTGATGAGCGTCGATTGCATTGGTGGTATGGTTTTCTTTCAATTTTACTAGCGAGCAAAAATTACGCATCTTTCTCTTTTCTTTTTTTTTCCCAGGTTTTTGCATTTGCGCCAACGATTACACTGCTACAGAGGATATGCGCGATTGCATCCGATATAGCGACAACGGTAACCGCTTTTTTTCGTTTCCCCTTTAAAATAAACAAACTTTCTTCACTTTTTTTCACATTTCAGAACTTATGACACTACATATGATTAATTTTCAGGCGCTGTAGCTACAACATCTGAACGGCAAATGTCCCTAGTTCTATTTTTCATATTTTTCGCGAATGTTTCTATACTTTGAGCATTATCCATATAGGAATTACAATAATCTTTAGATTATAATTTTATAATACAATAGTTGTGCGGCTATATATATTTCAGTATGTTCCGTTTCATTGTAAATACGTCGCATTAGTGTGTACAGACAGAAGAAAACACACACCGCTACCAAAGATAAAGTATGCACGCAATCAACTCAATAGGAAATATCTTGTACGGAAAATACACTTGTCTCCATCGTAGAAACGATATTTTCCAAACGCATTATCAATTAAACAACGGAATCTTGACAAAATCGGACAGTTTCCAGTCTTCTTTGATCATATCCGCAGCTTTTTCACCAATCATATAAGCAGGCGCATTCGTATGGCCTGCTATTATAGTCGGGATTATGCTGGCATCCACGACTCTGAGACCATTGATTCCGTACACTCGTAACCTGTGGTCCACCACACCCGACTTCCTCCTCGGTGCCATCTTGCACGTGCCTACAAAATGACCCAGGGTCGTGGTCACGTGCCGTGCAACGCAAGCCCAATAAGGATCGGTACCGAAAGAAATATGCTTGCATCCTGGGAACGACACCGGCAGTAACGTCGCGTTGAAACGTTTGAAGGCTATCGTCGATCCCACTTGTATAGCCTGGAGGGAGAAGGGATGCAAAATTAGCCTTGATAGATAAAAATCACGGTAATATTGAATAATGCGATTCAGAAATTCCAGACAACTGTCTGACCGGTAAGATTAAGGTAGAAAATAAGAAAGTATTTAACGACCTTTTTAATCCCCCGAACCATAGTTCTAAGGTCGTCTTTGTGATCGTAGTAATTTATCTGGAATATAGGTCGATCAAGTGGATCCGAGGTTTTCAAAGTAATTCTTCCCCTACTCTTCGGCTGCAAAAGTATCGGGACAATGGTGAACGCGTCGAAACCTTCGTAACCGGTGAAAACGTCTTTGTAAAATTCGTCCGTTAAACCGAGCAGCCCTCTGAAACTGCCCGATATATCTCCAGTGAGAGCACTTATGCCTAAAACCAGTTCAATATCGGGGACGTTTGATCTTTTCGTCTTGTTTAGAAATGATTTCAAATAATCGGAATTCACGCCGATAGAAGTTACGTTTGGAGGGAGAGGAGCTGAAAAATAAAAATATCCCTATTCATCGGAGGTGATTCGTTAATTTTCATTCTGCATAAGAACTGGAAAAAATGATCATAGTTCTACACGGTTCTCGTCGTTCAACCTACTTCTATACGTTTTCAAATTTTTTCTTTGACTCTTTCGATAATCTTGCTTAGTATCCACAAACGCCAAACCCTCGGCACCACCGGGCACAGTTAAGGGGCCCGTTCCTTTGACAAAATAATCCAGGGTATTGGCTAGATTCGAAGCAAGGCGAGGTTCGACGATTGTTATACTTTCATTTACGAGAAAAGTTAACGCAGACATGCTGACGTGATCTTGAAGATTATATCCAACCGGAAGGTCTTCGATTACATCGATATTCAGAGACTTCAAGTGATCTTTGGGTCCTATTCCGGATACCATCAACAACTGGGGCGAATTCAGGGTACCTACGTAAACGTGAATGCAAGAATTGGAATTTCGTCGAATTAGGTAAGTGTGAAATACCTGCTGAAAGTATTATCTCCTTTCTGGCAGAAGCGAACAGTTTCTTGCCATTTTTCATAAATTTCACGCCCACGGCCCTTTTCGTCCTTGAATTAATCACGATCCTTGTTACTTTAGATGATTTCGACAGAAGTAAATTCGCTCTATCACGAATAGGCTTTAGAAACGCCTTATTGGCACTGACCCTGCGTCCGTGCCGCAGATGAGCCTGTGCCGTCGAAAAACCAATAAGTCTGTCTGTATTATAATCGATTACATCATATCCCAGTTCTTCACCAGCTTGCAGAAAACGTTCTCTCAGCGCGGAGACGTACGGAGAAGTAGTGACGTCGAGGTATCCTCCGCGGCCATGAAATCTGATTAAAGAAAATCCGTGTCAATGTGTGAAAGAGGAGAGTCACAATTCGATCTAAGGGAACATATTATCCGCTCTTCTCAAATTTCTCTGCCAAACATACGTTACGCAAACTTTGAAAGTGCGTGCATGCGCTCCCGAGTCCGTTCATTAGTACGTTTTACCACGATTACCTTTGTTAATTATCAACGTCTATATTGCAATGTTCTACGTCATTGACTTGTTTCGCCAGCAGCCTTTCAAATAAAACAGTGACAGGATTTGCCGTACTCTTATTCTCTTATTTGTGTCTATATCAATGCACCTACCTGATATCCTGATCCACTAACTTGCAATTCTCTGACTTAATGAAGTACGGTAGTATATCTTTGTAACTCCATCCGGGATTTCCCTGCGCGTCCCAAGCGTCGTAATCGGCCGGCGATCCCCTAGAATATATCATGAAATTCACCACAGAGCTACCGCCGACCGCTCTACCTCCTGGCAAATTGCAACGACCATCGTTCATCGACAAACAGTAACCACCGCTCCCATCTACGTTCCTGGGTCTCGGTTCGCTTCTATGTAGTCGAACGTAGTCCGTAATGTGCAGAACTGAGGCTAATAGCGGAATATCAGTGAGGAAAATCTCGTCCTTGCCCTCTTCTAATAGCAACACACTCCAATCGGGATTCTCTGTTAAACGATTCGCCAATACAGAACCTGCAGAACCAGCCCCTATCACGATGAAATCGTACTCCTTTGACACAAACGTCTCGTCTCGAACTAAATCATCGGGCACTGCTGGAATTCCGGAGAAAAAGTGATATATAGTCTCGAAAATGGCAGGAGGGAGAATACATTGCGCGTGTGACAGAAATAAGATCGTTCCTAACACCCTTAACATCGTGGAACTTTAGCCAATTTCGGTCTCGATGTTCGTCTGTGAAACTGACACGCACAATCGCGAACATTCAACGGCAGACACTTGTCACACTTTGACACCCGTCACAATCTTAACTATCCGAGAGAAGATACTATTTTGATCGACAGTTGAAAAGTTTGAATTTTGGTAGAAAATCCCGTAGCCTCCCATCGTCGTCGAGTCCCGCGACCCTTACGATTCGAGATTTCGTTTCGAACTAATGAAATCGGCCAGCACGATCGGTGTCTCCCACAAGAAGAAATCAGAATTCTTGATAGCGGTCTTATGGTCAAGGTAACGTCATGGCGCAAGTTGAATGAGACGTGCGTACTAAATGAATATCAATCGTGAATGATCGTGTTGTTAAAAGAATCAGCCGATCGTATTTGGAAAGAACGACTGCAACTTCACTTCGTCGCTCGATAAATTCTCATTTACCGTCACTTGTCGTACGATGTGTAAATGTGAATGACAACGGTAACACGTTTAGCGTTAGGATGGGCAGCGCAACGATGCATTGGGTAAAATTGTTAACCGTTTTCTACCATTCTGTCGTCTCATCCTTAGGAATACTAACACTCCAGCTACGCAATCTTTATTCGTTACGTTGCAACAGCTATTTTTCTATTTTTTTTTCGTTAAGTATCCTCTCACGATTATTCCGATAAACTTTCCCTAATTTGTTAATGACCTCGATAGAAAATTATGCAAGAACGTGATGACTGTTGGCCGAAGATGGAATATTAATTGAAATGATCGATGAATTCCTATGAGACCTATGTTACATACGTGAATTTGAAACAGCACATTATTCCTATCTGTTAATCGATACCCTTCTTTTTGAATACTCGAATTTTACAGAGGAAACAAATCAAATTCACCTTATTGTATTATGAATTAAATAGAACTCGACAAATGCAACTGAACAACGTGTTATCGAAGTATAATTACTATCGGTGCTTTAATTATCACACGTTCTAATAAAACAAATATAAACATTATACGAATCTAGTATCCTTTTTATATTTTAAATGACATGATTTTAATTTCAATGTAAATGCTAGAATATCTTGAATATGGATCGTAAATATCGTATAAAGATTTATAAGTCGTACAACTTCCAATGTCACGGCGTTAAGAATCTATGTAAAAGTAGGGCGTTGTCTTGAAGGTAACATCACCAAGGTAATTGCAAAATATTCATATATGCCAAGGAAAGGATACAGCACATTAGATGATTACTGTAAAATAAGAGTTAAGAAAGATAAAAAGTAAAATATCATAAAGATACTTTTGAGGAGTTTAGCAGAACGTTATCAGTCTAAGAAACTTTTTAAAGGTGTTCAATTTCTGCAATTTATATGCATTGTGAGAATACTAGATCGAGAACGTTAGTTGATTTACGGTAGTTTGACGTAAAGTACAATCCTCAATATTTTTTACAGTTGTATCACCATGATTTATTTCTTACAGTTAAATGTGTTTCTTACGTGACTTTTTAATGTTCGTATCTTTACTATGTTCAAAATACTTCTACATTTTATGTTTCTTCAAATTCTTTCTTCTTTATTTCGATTTTTCTCGAATATTCATTGAATTTACTGTTTCACATAAATCTTTTAAGAAGTTTTTATTCAGGTTCCTTTATTATCTTACAGCGGTATGGTAGAAATCTTCTTATTTCACACAATTACTATAGGTAACAAGGAATTGTAATTATATGAAAAGTCTTTTATTCAAATGATTGTTACATGAATTCGAGTAAATTTAAATTATAATAAAATATAATAACGAAGAAAGCGGAAGTATAAGACAAGTATAGTTCGGGTTTATATTTAATCTTTAAGAAACTATCGCTCCTCTATTCTTCACGCACATGTTATTTTCATACCAGCTGAAATCAGTGGTCAATACATTTAAATAATGCCAAATAACAACTGAATTTTGCATTACCACAGAGGACGTACAGGATAGACATAGCATTTTATGGGGCTTTGGGGCCGAGAAGACCCTTACCATTTTCGTATCGCTACCAACATTACCGATTCAGTATAGAATAAGATTACAACATTAGTAGTGGTTAGAATTAAAATTAAACGTAAATATGAAATGATACATAAAAACGTAACGTAATTGTTTACTAGTAGATGATTCATCACATGCGTAAGTTAACCTGTTGTCAAAAGATCAGGCAATCCAATATACAGTATGTCCGCTTTATTTCAAAACACGGAAGCATCTTGAAAACTACGAATGATAGATAAAAATCTGTCAGATGAAAGCTGTAGGGTATAAAGGGCGACATATTTTTCGAGTATTTTTTTAACCTTTCTATGGCCTTGAAAGCCCTATAAAGGTCATGCCTAAGTTTTTAAATGGAATAATATTTTTGATTATGTATTGTTGTAGCTGACATCGAAACGATTTCAAAACACTGTATACTTATAATTTTTGCGTAAATTATTATCGAGATATCAGCTTCCAAGTTTTACATGCCGCCAGCATTAGCGTTACCCGATGTACACCGCAGGAACAGATAAACTACATACTATATAGTATCACAGACGAGGTACAGAACAGGCCTTGCTCCTAATGTATTTTTCTGTCCAACGTTCTGAAATACCGATCGTGTAAAAAGTCAGAGTTTTTATTATGCCCTCTACGATATATGTAAAGCGGTGAGTTTAGGAATTACATACAATCTAATCATCAAAGGTGGTAAAATCGACAGATGTAAAAAATCCTGTTTTATTAAAATAAAGATACATATGTACATACAGGGTGTCTGTTTTATCTCAATACAGTGAAATATCTTTTAAGAAAGTGATATTATGAAAAAACTGTTTTAACAAAAGTTGTTTGGTATGGAGGGGGACGTAATGTGGTGTAAATATTTTTTTTGTTCCTGGTATGATTGAGAAGATTTCAAAGTCAATGTACTTTTTTTTAAATGGAATGCTATATTTTTTTATACATAATATGCTAGTGTATGTTAACACGAGTTCAACGAGCTGCCAACAAAGTCATTTCCTTTCACGGAAGGTCGTAAAATTGCGAAAAACCGAGAGTGGGATCACCACACGTTCCTCACTGTCGCGTCGGCCCGCTAAGCATATTTGACCTGACCAGGGTGAGTTTTTTAATTGTGCCACCTAAATTTACTCGTAAACTATTTGTTGTATCAAAACAATTTTCAAACGAAAGTTGTTTGGTATCAAGTGGGGCATACAATGTAATAATTAGTTTTTTAATAATCCGCTTTTTTATCGAGATATGAAGGTCACCTTGAATTTTTGTATCATGATGTGTAATGTTTGATCTTGTGGTATGAAAGAGTACTGAATGATGAGTAAAAAAACTATAAGGTATATGCGATTAAAAACGAATAATTACCGAGATATTCTTCAGTGAGAGATGATGGAAAGGAAAGACAATAAAATAATTGGACTGTAAGGCGCTGTACGACGCGCCTACACGATGACCGCGAGACCCAAGCTGCAGGGAGCCTTAAATGAGGGTGACTGCAGGGCTTGCACGGCCCCAACGGCCGACGAAATATATAAAAACGGGGGAAAGGGCAGCGGTGGACACAAAATTACTAATAGTTCCCAGCGAACGAACTACAGTAATGTCTCTCTTATTGGCCACTAGTTTGGATTCTATAATTGACCATGTTACGCTTGTTGTGTCCTCACACGGAGCGTAATATTGGTTTGGGATGGTGGATCGGTCAGAACATTCACCGTATAAGGGTGATACGTTGTTGATAACAAATCCGATAGGATTGGAACCTTCGACGCATGTAGTTACTACGCCGTTCTCCGAAGGATGGCGTGACCATTTGGTGGTTGTGAGGATAGTGCGTATCGTAATGTCGGTTCTCCGTTCTCCGAAGGATGGCGTGACCATTTGGTGGTTGTGAGGATAGTGCGTATCGTAATGTCGGATATACCTCAAGCGGTAAAGATATATCCTTTGTGAGTTTAACTGATTCGTTACTAATGTTACAAAGAGATAGTTAATTGAATATAGGCTGAAGCAATTCTATAGTAACTATATTCTAATAATAATCAAGGAGTTTGCATAAGTTTACAATGGTCTAAAGATAAATTATAATGGTTGATTCTTGGCTGAGCAAGAATCTTCCTTCTCGACTTTACACGTCGAGTACGCGGGGACGTCGTAGACAAGTATGTCTAGTTGACACTTACGAGATTAGTGTTATACTTGGTTGCTTGAAAGGGAATTCAGCCCGATCTTGCTTGTGTCAAATGGCGACTATACGAATACTGCTCTACTTTAAAGTTTAAAGTGACTCTGTCCAGAGTGATCACCCCGACTGCCCCAGAGCATCGGAAATCATGCCCTTATATACCCAAAAATCTGTATTTTTTGGGTGGTGGGGGCCCTAATTTTCCCATGAGAACGAAACGCGTTCGTTTATTGTATCTCAAGGGGGTGAGCCCTAGGCGGATGTCTCGGCGCCGCCGTGTCGGCTAGTCTGCGTACGTAATAACTACATAGATGGTCATACGCTTAGATCTACGTCATTGCTGCACCTGTGTTATCTCGCTCGCATTTTTTTTTCTTCAGGTGGGGGAAATCCTCATGGACACCCCACCCCCCGGGGAGCGGGCGCGTCGGGAGGACTCCGGGTTCTCGCGTAGCGAACACTACCGGAGCCCTCTCGCACCTTGG